AGTCAGGATATTCAATAAAACCTCACTTCCATTCTCAAAAGGTTACATAAAGGTCAGCATTCATTTTATTCAGGTTTATTTTCTAACCTTACAAAAATGCCTGCAGACCAAATTGGCTTCTACACCTGCTGACCTAGAAACTCCACCACCGTGGTGGCCGTGCCTCATTTTGGGAAGTCGCTTCTCCTCCCAGGCTGATCTGGCACCAAGTGCTGTGGCCACTGAGCTGCCCACTCCTGGTGGCATGGAGGAAGGCTTTCCCAAGGGCAAGGAGGTGCACGCCAGCACAGAACCATAAATGCTTTTTTAACCCGCTTTGGTGAGAAGGAATTCTTCCAGGGAGGCTTCCCCCAAAAAGGAGGGTTTCTTCTGTACAGGAATGTGTAGTAATAGATAAAGAGTGTACCTGGACTTTGTTCAAGGGAATGGAAGATCTCCAAAACAACCCATGGAAGGGATGGAGTGGCCATCCTCCAGGAAAACAAGTCAACTTGGAAAAGTGGCAACTGCTTTAGGATTTATTTTGCCCAATTCAAGAGATCTGCAACACAGATGGTTACATCCTGGCACACAGTTTAGAATTTGTTTACAATTACAGAGAAACGGGAACATAAAGTGACCAGATAGACTGTTTTATGGAAATATCTTCCTGAGATGTCCCTCACTCGAGAAGTGAATTTTTCTTCACAATGGCTACAAGGGAGCTACCTTGACCAATTCATACAGAAACAGATGGAATCAAACAAATTCCACTTTCTGTTCCTATCCATTTGGAGCAGCAGAGTGTGAAGGAAAAGGACACGCTGCTAAACGCTTCGCCCAAGGAAGGCTGACCTGCCCTGATATCATCAAGAATTACTCTAAAATATGATCCACAGCTCAATTTTTTTTCCAATGTATTTGACTGCTTATACACCAAACTGGGAAATACAAGCCTCACCATCACCTGTAAACAATGGAACCACAGAGACAGGAAAAACTGGGTTAGTGACAAGAAACTTTTGCAGTTTTACACATCATCTATCTCTTAGCTGAGGAGCTCAAAGTACTTCTTCAAAGCAGGTAAAAACACTCCTGATGTTACAGAGATTTAGTGAAATAAGTGCAGCCTGTACAACTGTCAATGATAATTATTAGCTCGTCCTCCTAACAGTTAGCAGTCCTTCATTGAAGAAATGGAAGTTTTGTTTCCCACCTCCAACAATGACTTAAGGAGGATGAAGAAAGGAATGGTGGCTGGTGGATTCTGAGTTGGGGGCACAGAATAACCACTAAGAATCTGTCACCAGTTACAGAAAATTTTAACTTCTCCACTCAATTTTGAAAGACCATTTAACAAAACACAGAGGTTTGGGGTTTTTTTCCCTCTAATTCCCTTCCTCCCTCTTCCAAGCTACAGAAAACTGACAGTAAATGCAGATGGATTGGTCTACAGATTAATTCAACCTGACTCAAGAGATCTGTTTTTTTAAAAACATACATAAAAGGTCTTAGAGGAATTTCCACTGGATAAGAAAACTACCAGAAAGTCATTCACACCTGCATTTGCAAAGAGCCTGAAACTAGTACCCCTTAAGCTTTCCTCTTCATTGCCAGGTATTTTATTAAAAATATCAAGACTGTCAATAATTTATTTCTGCTGACCCAACCATGCAAATAAGTAGCAATTCCTATTATGAAAAATCTCAATGGCATTTTCCAAACTGCAGAACATTGGCTCTGCCAACAGCTAAATGACAATCCACACTTGCTGACAATGCCTAATGAGGAGTGATGGATGCAACTGCAGGAAAGAGCAGAAACCATGTAAGTCCTAAGAAACAACAGTGTCTTCCAAAGATCAGAAAATATTGGTGTTTCAGTCAGCTAATTTGGTTTTCTAGTACGATACCAAAAGCCCCAAACTAACAAAGGCACAATTCACCTCCTACTCCCCCCTCAACATGAGACAAACTGGGCCTTAAGTCATATAATTTTGGCACTGCCCAGCCTAGCTCATGTGGTTTTCCAATACAACTTCTAGCTAGGAGAGCGATTTGAAGAAAAAAAAATATGGATCCAAAATCCACACCCATATCCAACTGGAATGGCTGCAAAAGCAATGCGTTGTGTTTTCCACTCCACGCCGCCTGGTCCTCAGCTCAGTTTACATGAGATATTGGGAAGGAGATAAATTAATCTCTTGAGCAGAATTACTATATTCAAATCCTAACAGATGCCTTTAGGACAAAAAAAGCTGAGACGCAGGCAAGGTGAAAGAAGCTGGGGCCAACTCGTGCACAGATGCAGGCACCAGATTACTATTACAACAGTAAACAAGTACTCATTGAAGAATCATCACCAGTTACTCGCAACAGTGAACAGGAAAACAAACCCGTCCGTTCCTTCATTTGCAGCTACAGACTGGATTTTAGATTAATACAGTGAGCAGAGGGATTAAACTGCCTAGAACTGTTGGTCTTTTTCTTTCATGCCAGTGTGAGCAGACCCTCAGCTGACACCTTCCCTCCTTGGTCATCTCTGCATCTCAATCCTTGTGCCACACTGCTTTTACATACGTATATCACTGATGTCTTCAGCTACCGGATATTCCTTGGCAACTTAACAGAATATTGAGTAGACTCTGTCTTAAGCAACATGTTTGGGGACAGAAACATCATATACAAATTATACACATTTGATAATACAGCACCCTCACCAGATGAAAATAATTGACACCCCATTAGTCTATATGCTCAGACAGCTGACTAGACAGTTCTTCTGCCTCGGGCTCTAATGTCTGAACCACAAACTATTAATAAATATGAAAGCTTTAATGAATCTGAAGGGAAATAAAAACAAGCAGATTAAGGCCCAGTGTCCAGTGAAGACCAGGGCAATTTACAAACCCGCCCAACCTGACTCTAATCAGCCAGGCTAGGCTCCAAAAGACATGTTCTCCCCGTCTAGACTTCTAATCCATCAGTGGGAAAAAGACATCTAATATTATTTCTGCCCATTTCATCGACACCATAAGAATACATCCAACTGCTCAGCAACTCACATATACAACATAAACTGAAAACAGACACCACTTTACTGGATATGTTCAAGTGGGGCAGTTAGGAAAAAAATACAGTTTGACACTGATGAACTTCAATTGTTGTAACCAAACAGCAGTTAAATACCTGTACGTAATGTCATAATGCAAAAAAAACCTTCCTGATTTGTTTTTAAGTACAGTTAAGTAACTCTTATCTTCCCTTCCCTCAGTCCAAACTAAAGGTCACTTTAAATGCAAAAACCCATTTAAAAAAAACTCAAAACTGAATGGACTTGTAGCAAGCACATACACTGACTGTGTGTGCAATTTCAGCCGGAAGGACTTAACCTATTGTTTCATTTTAAGGAACTCCACATGTTCACAAGTACCTGAGCTACTTTTGTCAAACTACACTTTAATTTACTAAACAGAATAAATGAAGTATGAGTTTAGATAATGAATAACTCATTGTCCCACTTGAGGCCTGCATCACACACTATATTTATATTTGCATGTACAGTGGAAGGACAAGCACAGACTTGTTTGTGATCCTCAAGTCCAGTATTTGAGTAGCTGCTATATTTTGCTAGATTACTATCTTCATTGACAACATAATTTGAAGATTGAAACTCTTAAAAAAACAAAAACACACAAAATTAACTAAAAACAACCACCAGAAAAAGAAAAATGTAGGCAAAAGATACAGAAGAGTACTAAACCCCTTGGGAAGCAAGGCAGGAATTGAAGGCACCAACCTGCCAGCATGCACAACTGGCACAGCAGGGGAAGAGGGGAGGAGGAGGCAGGAAGGCAGAAAAGAGGAAGCTCTCTTCTGCGCGTTACACCTCGTTCTGTTAACAACCGAGCACTGCCATTTTCACCAGCAGCCCTCCACAAGCTCTCCCAGTGTTTGTCCATCACCAGCACACAGCACCCACTGGACAGAATAAGTGGATCTGAGACTGCAGCTACAGGAGTCATTCCACTATTCACTCCAAGTGCAGCGTGCACAACATCCCTGGCAATGCTCCGCATCCTTGCTGCCCAAAAACAACCACCACATCTACATGAAGATGCAAATTAACATTAAACTCCAGCCTCAACTGAAGACTGCTTGATCATAACACAGAGAGTTTCTAGCAGTGCCAGACAAAAGATTTGAAGATATCAAAGCAAATGTTTTCTTATAAAAAAATAACCTTATCTTCAAATACTGCATTTCAACAGTCTAACCCACAGGGAATGGATACTGCCTGAAAGCAGCAGGGAAGTTCCAGCCCCGTGCAGGAAGAAGGTAGCAAGGAAGGAATGCCTGTGAAGGTAGCAGGAAACAGGGCTGCAAGGTGCTGGCAAAACCTCTGCTGGTCACAGGCACTTGGCACCAGGCAAGCCATTTACACCAGGCAAAACACTGCATTCCTTCGCACCAAACGTGGGCTCGGGCTACTCATCAAGTTTACCTGAATCAAATAAGCAGCTCTCCTTTGCAAGGCTAATAGATGTGCCCTTTTTCCTTGAAAAGGAAACCCGTATTAAAATCAAAGGTTTTACTTAGTAGCCATTTTGTCTTCAACTTGGACATGATACCTAATCTGAATGCAATGTAAACATGCTCCGTGAGGCTCATTTCCAAAAAGCACGTTCATGGAAAGAGAAGAAAATATAAAAAGGCCATCACTAAATACCACAATAAATTAGGAGGGTGTGAAGATTTCATGAGGTAAACAGACAGGAAATTCTGCAGTTCATATTCCTTCTCTAGGTCACATTGCAGAGAAAACCAAAACAAAAGGTAGCAAGTGTGCATTAAGGACAATGAATTACTATTTACCGTCTAAATAAACAACCAACAATCAAACTACAAATGCAGTTTCAGTATGCCATTCAACAGAAAAATCTGAAGGTAAAATCATATTTACATTCCCTTTCTTTTATGGCTACATCAATTCATAAAATCTAACTATATTAGAATAAAGTAATGCGCAAGCTAGAGTGGTATGTTTTTATTAGGATGACTAGATGTATCTAAAAATACGTTTGGTGGGTATATATAAAGGAAAACATATATTGAGTAACCTATATTTACAGCTGCCAAGTTTCAAAATACTTTATCATCCCCCTCAGCCAAAAGCAGCTTTTAAAAACATACACGAAATATAAATGCTGCAGGTGACAGCCTCTTGCAGGTATTTATTTAAAAAACAGGGTATTTTATTTTCAGGGAAACCTAAACTTAGTTTATCACTTTCCCCCAAATGCACACAAAATAAATATTCCTAAGTAAAATTTTAATTTATTATGGAGGTTGGTTTAATTTTTTGAAGAAAAAGACACAACAAAACTGGATTCCTGTGCAGGAACTTGCAAACCACCGTCACAAGTTTCAGACAACATTGCATTTCAATTACCAGACTTGAAACTCAGAAGAACAGAGGTTTCCAGGGAGGCTGGAAAAATGCACCCTTAGTGCAACCACTCTGCATTCCCTGCTGCATCAACACCCCGCGCTGGGGGTCTCGTGTGAACGTGGAAAACAACAACAACAAAAGGCGTACACCAAGAGGGCTGTGTAAGACGTGGACCTCAGAAGAACAGAGGTTTCCAGGGAGGCTGGAAAAATGCACCCTTAGTGCAACCACTCTGCATTCCCTGCTGCATCAACACCCCGCGCTGGGGGTCTCGTGTGAACGTGGAAAACAACAACAACAAAAGGCGTACACCAAGAGGGCTGTGTAAGACGTGGACTAATTAAAATGCCTCCAGCAGGTGAGACTGCACCATCCGTCCGAGCAGAGCCGCTCGGTAATTGCCATTATCGCCCAGCACAGGCAGGCAGCCCCGCTCACCCGCCCCGGCACACGCAGCCTCATGCTGGAAAATAACAAGCACCGGGCGCGGCGGCGGCCCCGGCCCGGCCCTCCCACCGCCTCACCTGCCCCCAGACACGCGTGTTTTCCGCAC